AAGTAGTAAGATACTCTAAAAATTATAGTTATAGTTGTGGAAGCTAGTTTGCAAAATGCACCTACTTTGGACTCTGCCTCAAAGATTTTTCAAGAAATGAACGAGCGAGAAAAATGTTCATTCAATATTATCGATCATGGTTTAGTGGAGTAAAATCTTTCTCACCTTCGCTAAATTAGCTCTGAAGCATCACATAATTCTCGTATTTTTTTTATTGGTTGTGTTTGCTGTGCGCCAAATTGACTTCTTATAACAAAAGCCCTATTGAAATGGCCACTCTGTCCAATTAAGACATAATGTAGGCGCACTCAGGTCTTAAGGAGTCCTAATCCAGTATTCTAGCGTCTAATAAAAAACTTATTGAATCTCAAGATGCACAATTTGCTTCTCTGTATAACAGTCTCCCTGAGCCAGATGAAAAATCTTAAATGTGATAATTTAACCCTGCGCAAGTAGTTAGATACTCTCAAAAATATAGTTATAGTTGTGGAAGCTAGTTTGCAAAATGCACCTACTTTGGACTCTGCCTCAAAGATTTTTCAAGAAATGAACGAGCGTGAAAAATGTTCATACAATATTATCGATCATGGTTTAGTGGAGTAAAATCTTTCTCACCTTCGCTAAATTAGCTCTGAAGCATCACATAATTCTCGTATTATTTTTATTAGTTGTGTTTGCTGTGCGTCAAATTGACTTCTTATAACAAAAGCCCTATAGAAATGGCCACTCTGTCCAATTAAGACATAGTGTAGGCGCACTCAGGTCTTAAGGAGTCCCAATCCAGTATTCTAGCGTCTTTAAAAAAAACTTATTGAATCTCAAGAAGCACAATTTGCTTCTCTGTATAACAGTCTCCCTGAGCCAGATGAAAAATCTTAAATGTAATAATTTAACCCTGCGCAAGTATAAGATACTCTAAAAATTATAGTTATAGTCGTGGAAGCTAGTTTGCAAAATGCACCTACTTTGGACTCTGCCTCAAAGATTTTTCAAGAAATGAACGATCGAGAAAAATGTTCATACAATATTATCGATCATGGTTTAGTGGAGTAAAATCTTTCTCACCTTCGCTAAATTAGCTCTGAAGCATCACATAATTCTCGTATTTTTTTTTATTAGGTGTGTTTGCTGTGCGTCAAATTGACTTCTTATAACAAAAGCCCTATTGAAATGGCCACTCTGTCCAATTAAGACATAGTGTAGGCGCCCTCAGGTCTTAAGGAGTCCCAATCCAGTATTCTAGCGTCTAATAAAAAACTTATTGAATCTCAAGATGCACAATTTGCTTCTCTGTATAACAGTCTCCCTGAGCCAGATGAAAGACTTAAATGTGATAATATACCCCTGCGCATGTAGTTAGATACTCTCAAAAATATAGTTATAATTGTTGAAGCTAGTTTGCAAAATGCACCTATTTTGGACTCTGCCTCAAAGATTCTTCAAGATATGAACGAGCGTGAAAAATGTTTATACAATATTATCGATCATGGTTTAGTGAAGTAAGTTAAAATCTTACTCACCTTCGCTAAATTAGCTCTGAAGCATCACATAATTAAAATTTAAAATTATTTTTTATTTGCCTGTTACAATAGGTACCCCGCAATCACACTCATTTTATTTAATACATAATCTATCACCAACCAAAAGTAAATAGCTAATTATACGATACTCTCGTAGGTCTATCATGAATTCAAACTCGTATAAAAAGGTTAACCAATAGATAAAAACTAACTTAGTCAAGTCTCATCTACGCTAAAATGCACAACGCACATTTATTGATTTATTCCGTTCATTAAAATTTGTATTTTTCGTACGTTTGTGTTATTCATACCAATCTAAAAGCAGTAGAACAATTTACCTACTTAGCTAAGGACACAGAATTCACAATCTCCAAAGGTGAGTCAGTTTTAATTTATGGGGCTATAAAACAGGTATTGGGGTAATCCAGAATGAGAGATCCGAGGGGCCGCCCAATCATTTTAGGATCCACGTCAGTTAGAAAATTTCCCCAATCCATTATAATTGTTACGTATCAGCAGTTTCCTAGCAATCCAATCATTCCTGTACAAGGAAATAATAGTATCAATGTCATTAGGATAATTTGAAAAAACAGCAGAATGTTAAAATAAGGGGAAGCGCACCAAGTAATCTGCCATATTCTCAGCACAGCTGTAGACTATTTCATTTTTACCCAACTTATATTAACTGTATCTAAATTTAAAAAATATTCATAAAAATTACGTATAAGTTGCCCAAAAAAATATAATTTTGTGGTTATGATTATGTCTGTAGGAAAAAAATTTCATATTACATAAAAATTGACGATTTATAAACATGAAACCTTTAAAAAGGTGTTGTATTCAAAGTTATTTTTTTTTTTAGTTTTAAGTTGTCGAGAATCTAAAATCTTTATTTTCAATATTATGTTTTTTTAATAGTTATCATTATATTATTATACTCAGTTAACATTGAATTGATGTCACACGTTTTGTTTTTTGTTGGATTACTACCACAGTTAATTTTTTGTTTTTATCAGACCTGATAAAATTTTCTTGTCAGAAAATTTAAAATTAAGCTGAATTCTACTCCGTATTTATACTCTCTAGACCCATAGAACCCCACCTGTTACGCCCTTTTCCCTATGTATTATTTTCTTAACTTGTTTGTTGGACTATGTGTTTGCTGTGTTAAAAATTAATATAATGCCTATAATTATTTTTACACCTGCAATTGTTAGACCATCGCCTCCGGCAAATGTTGTTTTCACCGCCTTTGACAATTTCTAATCGTCGCGAGGAGAACGGGAGGACGGGTTTCCAGGTGTCCCCATACATACAAAATCTACCTACTGATAAGTTCCGAGCCCCGGTGATTAGCATATCTGTTATTTCCCTATAAATATTGTTTTTTTAACGGTTATTATAACACATTTCGGTTATTGATGAAGATAACAAAATCGTATACAATGATTTGTTTGTATTTTTAAGAACAAAGGGGCCTCTGAATTCTTAATAAATAATAATGTCTGTTTACTGTAAAAATAAAAATAAAATTTGTAATAATTTAAATTTAAATTTAATAACATTAGGAACACATATTGTAAATAAAATAATTTTGTCCGTCTAAAGTTGGATTTCCGACCACTGTGCGGCGACTAAAAAAAAAAAACTGTAGCTTGCTTCTATATTATCACAAATGTGAATGGTCAATTATTTACAATACATTTAAGTATTTACAAAGAAATACGGGAAAGTCCGTTGATATGAGATATGAAACATTTATTTTCCATTTCTTAATCATAATGTGTAAATGTAGAGTAAATCTGGCACTAAATTGTCTTACAAAATGTACAACATTGGTCGTAATTTTGTTTTATTTTTGTACAGTTATAATTTGCTAACATTAATATTGCGATATACGCCTGTATATCTTGGTGGAAGTTAGTATTTAAGTAGAAAATAAAACAAAAATAATATGTTTGAACACAATACTATTAAACATAAAAACACACTGTATAAATATAGAGAAAAATATATTTAACGTACGTTACAGTTATAACAGCAGCCGTAATAGAATGGTAAATCCAACACCTTAATACTATGTCTTATATATGATATAATCTAGGTTACAAATGTAATTGGTCCTTGAATAAAACAACTTTTAAATATTACTCAATGATTTCTATAGTGTTCACATATAATACCATATAAGGTTATATTATATTTATTACTTATAACATACTTATATTCCATGACCCAAATAAAAAATATTAATTATATTCAATAATTAAATTTTAATATATTATATTATAGTTTACAATAATAAATTGAAAGTCATTGCACATGCTTGATGGAATATGTGTATAATACATGTATATTTTCATAGAAAATACTAGTGTTGTAAATTTGTACAAAATGGTATAACTTAAACTTATGGTAATATGCCTACATTAATAATATTTGCTAATTCAACTGTTCATAAATTTCATTATTATAATGAACAGTTGAATATTATGCCGTATAATATGGAGCTTATATAGAAAAATGTTTGTGCTTTGTTACCTACGTGTCATGCGAAGAATAATAACGTTAATTTTGATAATAACTAAAATTATAGGATTTGATTCAGGGGCGTCACTTGGAGTAAATTCATGGGGTAGCAAGCATCTTGAATATTATTTTTAATTTAGTTGTAGTCTAAAGAAGGGAGTGAGCAGTCGGTATATCGGTGAATCCTGGTTAATTGTTCATAACAATTAGGTAAAAATATATCATAAATCTCATAATTTATTTTTTTAGTTTAAACATATATTTACATTGATTTATCACACAAATATACAATTTCTGATTTTATATATTGTTGTGAATGCAATAACGCTGATAAATTTTCAAGTACTGCTTTAATAGCTTCTATTCGGCAATTCCACCGAGTATCAGATAAAGATAAAGATTTATGTAATTTGTAGTTCATTACAACAACGGTATAATGATAACAAAATAATATTATACTGTGGTCTGTGCTTATAGCTATACTTCGTACCGTCCCCGATCGTAAACGATAAACCGTTTCCTGGAAAAAATAAATATGTAGTTTCGCTAAAAGTTCATTATTTATGAGTTATCTTTATAGTTTATACCTACGTCCAAATTCAATATAGTAGATAGCCGATGATACTATAATTATTACACTAATTATATTATTTTTTTGTGATCAAAATCTGAAAAAAATTAATAAAATTGTATTTTTTTACAAATTACTCGTAGGGTAGCTTTGCAACCCCAATAAAATTGATGGGGTAGCGATTGCTACCCCGTAATAACGCCTATGATTTGATTTCAATAAAATGATATTAACTATTTTACGAAGTTCAATCAAAGTATAATAAACATCCATCATAATGTAGTGCGTAGTACAAATAATAAAAATACCGTGTTTTTATATCACTGCAGTAGTAAAGATGAGATTTGTGTACAAAGGTGCGCACAATAATTTTATTATAAGTGCGGTAATTCTGGTAACACTGTAACGGTTACATAATGTTCAAATTTCCACAACGTCATCGGTCATTGTTCATTGTTCGATTGTTCAGTAAGTACTATTGTAATTTTCAAGTCAGTTGCTTAATACTAACTTATTCACTGTTATATATCTACTACACTCAGAACAATAAAGAAACAATTAATATGTAAGTTTTGGCACTTATTTTCATGTATTTTAAAAATACATTGTGTAATAATTAAAATGACATTTTAAACCCTATGATTTTTAAAATGTAACTATGTAATATATATAATGATTTTAGCTTAATTAGTTTTTCATGTATCTTAAATATTTTTTATTATACTAATTGTAATATTTTCGATACAATTAGAATTATTACACTTTGCTAATTAATATTACATTTGAACAAAAAAATTTTATTCTTAGAATTTTCCTGGACGAAATTATTATGTATTTTATCACGTGTACATAAATTTAGAATGACCTAGTTGTCAAAGCTTTACTTAAAAAAAAAAAAAAATAGAATTGTCGCTTAATAATTAAATATGATGCAACCTCAACCATTGCATGAAAAATATTCAACTTGGTATTAAATATAACAAGCCAAAAAATGATTGAAACTGGAGTAGGGTGTTGTATTTACACTACATCTTTTATACTATTTTATATTTACACTACATCTTTTATACTATTTTATATTTACACTATTCTTACAATTTATTTATTTATTTAGCGTATGGTTTCTGGTTACATGCATTAGACTAATTATAATATGATAACGTCATACAGTAAATTGGTATAATAGATAAATTAAAAATTAAAATTAAACAAAATAGGGTACTTTGTAATTTAAGCGATAGTGAGTAATATTAATAAGGTAACAAAACAATTTATTTGGTATTAGAAAGTTCTGGCTCCTCCAACCATTTAATAAATGTGGGAGGGGTTGTGAGACAGTCGATTCTGGGTCCTCTATATTGATGTCTTGTTCCCTGAGGATTCGGGAGATGTAGTCACTTTTTGATCTGCTAATACCTTCAATATTGATTTGGCAAGTGCGTAGGGTAGACCCTAGCTTTCTTAGGTGGCCTGAGAATCTTTCGATTCGATTGTGTTCGGTTTGGTTGCATGTAATCAGGCCAGGAGAACATTATAAATGATAGTTTGGCCACTGAGTTAATAGATCTTTAGCCGTTCATCTTGAAGATGAACGTTGCCCAGGGGGTACCACGAAGAGGCAATCTATCACAACCCCCTATTTTTACAATTTAAAATATACAATATACAATATTTTTACAATTTACAATATTTACACTATTTACACTTATTATTTACAGAATTAATTTTATATACAAAATAATATTTACACAATATGATGCTAGTCAAAAATTCTGACAATCATATAGATGTCAGAATTGCAAATGGGACAACGCCCTCTGCCCCTCACCTCCTCACCGCAATCGTGGCATAAACATTTGTGCCCACACGGAACGCAGGCATGTGTGTTCGTGGCTGCCAAGCAAATTCCACAACTGTTTATTTGTCGCGGTGTAATATCCTCATTCAAATTAGCCGAAACGAATGGAATATTATCTTGCTCCCTTCTCAAACGTTGTCCTTCCATTTGCCCGATAAATGCGAGAACTTCGTCGTCATCCTCAGGTATGTGATAGTCATCATTGACTATTAACACAAATAAATAAAAATATAAACGGATTATCATCAATAATATTAATGGTCATAAAAATTATTATTAATATGATATGGACAAAATATATTTTTACAGGGAATCCTTTTTTTATTATTTAGGTGTACGAGTCATTTTATTAATTTTTTTTTTTAATTTAAATATTGCATGTTTAATATTTCCTTTTTCTTATATATAATATAATGTATTGCCATTAAGAAATATGTTGTATACTATTATAATTGTTAACAAATTGTTTTTAATATTTCTGTTCAGAGCCTTACTGGGAAGAATGGCGTTATTATCTTGAACAGCCGGAGCAGCCTCAACTACAGGAGCAGCCTCAACTACAGGATCGGCAGCTTCAACAACGGGAGCATTTTGCTCCTCACCATCTCCCAATTCTAAATTGTAAGTTAAAATAAAACAACTTTATTTATAACCTGTTTTATTTCTTTTTAAAAAAATTTAGTTCATTAAGGTTTTATTTTTAATTGTAGCATAACGGGCCATGAAGGTCCAATGCTGCAATCATGAGATGATTTCTTGATAATTTCGCTATCCGGGACGGATCGTCAGTCCGTCGCCTGAGAGGAGGATGGTATTTTACCGGACGGTTGCTCGCCTGGCAGTTTTAATATTTTTATTTAGTACTATTGTCGGTATACCTATGTTATAGGCCAAGTGGCCTGTGTAGGAAAAAATTCCTTAACAGTAAGGCGGCCTTGCTCCAGCCTTTCAGTCGCTGCTCTTATGTTTCTGTCCTGCTGCACATACAGTGGACGACGTGGCCGTAAGGTGGGGCGCTCCAACTGTTGATATTTTTGGCTATAAATACCCTCAATTTTCAGGAGTACCTCTGTAAAAAAAATTTAAAAAAATTATTTCTATAACTAATTAACTATTTTGTAGCAAGTATTTCGATTTACTTGTATAATTCCAAATTCCCGGTCTTGTTGTATTCATTTGTTGGTTTAAAATTCTGTGAAAGACCTCCTGATCATTGTTTGTCCTCCTGGCCTGTCCGTAAACACTAAAATTCTGCGCACCGGTTCCTATAGTAAGTATTATACAATGAGATAATAAAAGAAAATTGTTTGTAAAAAATAATATTTTTTTGCTTAGTTTTTTTTAACCCCAGAGCATTTCATATACATAAAAATAAAATCAGTATTTTGGAATCGAGAGCGTTTTAAAAGTTTATAGCTGTGATTGCCGGAGAGATGGCGACTTCTTTTAACCAGACGATTTTTTGCCCGGCAACAGTGAGTGCCAAACACACTAATGCCTTACCCACTCAGCCATTTCCTCTCCACTATGTACAAAGGTAAATTAATTATTTTTTAAATAACTATTTTCTCATTTTTGAGTATATATTAGGTATTGTTTGTAATAATTAACTATTTATTATTATCAAGCATCTTTATTTCATATAGATGTACGCATTTCACTTTTATGTTAGTATTGAGAGAAAATCAAACAAAATCAAATTGTACTGTTTTCTAAGGTTTGCAGTACTAAACACTTACGGTTCATCCACTGGTTCTCGAAGTAATTAATATATCGACGAGCTATTTGTTCGTTTTCCGCATGACTACTCTCTTCTTGGATCAGGTTAAAACCCTCGGCTATGTGCTCGACCGGTAAAAGGGCCAGAGCCTTCGACATGCGGAACATGTTATGCAATGCCAAGTCATTACTATATTCACGTCGCCGCATCCCAAACTCTTTACCATTTTTTTCAAGTGCCTATAAATTACCATAAACATTTTTAAATGGCAACACACGATGCTATATTTTATAGCACCGGAAATGATGAGAGAATTATTAAAAACATTTTTCATACTTGCACCATGTGGAACCAACACCGCTGCAGGTTGGCAGCTGGCAGAGTATTCCTCAGTGCATTGGTTAATGCGGTTTCATAGTCAGTAATGATGTTTGTGGCTTGAATACCGCCTGGAATAAGATCCCTTACGTATTCAAGCACGCACCGGTATGCGATCTCTGTCTTCCTTGTCATCAAAACAAATGCAACCGGAAAAGCCTAAGTAAACGTATAAATAAAAATGTTAATCGTAAACTCATAAAAATCGTTTTTTTAATTTATTATATATTTTTTATTACCTGATCCATGTAAATGGCCATAATAATTAAAACTTGTTCAGTTTGAGGCTGAATAGGCCTCGATTTGAACGTGCCATCTACATGTAATTCATGTGAACTGCCTAATAAACTAAAATTACATTTAAGCTATAATATTGTCTATAAAAAAAATCATCTAGGTAAGCAATTAATTATATATTCTAATTTGTGAAGATTGGTATTAAAACTATTTGCTATTGGACTGATATTAAATATGCTGCTGTACTTGTCCACAAAATATTACAAGCAGCTATCTGAGCGCACAGTAGTGTGCTAGGCCAAGTTTCAGTAATGCCAGTTTATCTTTAAACGAACCAATTCACCCAGTTTTTCTAACTCACATATCTCTGATTCCTCTTAAGATAAGCTTTTGAAATGTAAATATCACTACTTTGATATTTAGTCTTGGAACTTGGCCAATTTTTCTCTGTTAGGTTTTTGTTGGAGATAATTCATAACAGTTAATTGAAAGAAATTAATTTATACAAATTTTAATCGTTTTTCTTTAAAATAAGTTATATATTTTTTTTAAATACTTAAGAAATATGTTTTTGGGACAAAAGGTAATGTTTTCTTTGTAACACAAATTTTTTCATTGTTAATTAAATTATTACTTCATCATTGCAGGCGAAATGAAAACCACTGCTTCGCCAGCTTCTACACCTCCATCTATGTAGCCCCTATACAACTCCTCGTTGCTAGACGTTAAAAATAGATGGCGGTACCTCAGGTCGGACAAATTGCCCACATATCCCAACAGAGTCTGGGGTATTGATGGCTGAGCCTCGGCCCTGGCCCGTTCCATAGTTCGCAAGAAGCTGGTGTAGGCCAATTGAGTGTTAACATGGTGTAATCTAAGTATAGAATATGTAAGTCTTGAACTACTAAATAATTATGCTTGTGCTGAGCTGATTGATTTGAGAACTTAATTTTAATATTAAGTGTTCTTATATTTAAAAACGGTAGGACTTTCATTAAGTATTAAATACTTTCTGTTCAATAATAATAAAACAAATTTTGTTTTATTATTATTGAACAGAAAGGCTTACGAAATACGTTTATAGGTATACAGTTATTTAGTGTTCTATGAAAATATACTAATTAGATGTATAAAATAATTTTTTAATATGCATTTTAATGACCACAAGCGTTTGCGGGCTTCAATTACAGGGGAGGCAATATATAATGTTATTTTTAAATGTAGTGACATCGGCCCAGTGCAACAATGAATACACGCATGTACGTTCGGTTGCCTATCTCTTTTTGTTACATAGTTACATACAAACATTCATACATACATACAAGTGAAGCTAACATAAGCGTGTTAAAAAAACCTTGTCTTTTTAGTAGTTTGTAAATAATTAATAATGGTAGTCTAAAACTCTTACAGCATGCTTAAATTAAGCTACTTCTATTAAATTAAGAGGAATATACGGACATTTTTAAATGAACGTAGTTTACAGCATGACTTAGTTTTCAAAAGTGTACTAAGACGTACACCTATTTTATCAATTTATTGATTCAACATATACTTAAATTATAATTAACTACGCAATTATTTACGCATATTTAGGTTAAACAATTTTTTACGCTTGCTAGATTTGTTAATTACAAATATATATTATGTAAATAACTTATGCATAAACCAAACGATCACAGATCACTATGCAATAAAATAGTTTGAAGTAAGGCAGCTCAGCTGCCACAGTTGCCTCCGCCTGTGTTTGTGAGACATCAAGTTTTAAATACAATTAATCAGCTCAGTTTAAATAATGTAATGAATAATGCCGTCATTGATATTAATTTTTAAATTATTATTAAAGGTAGGTATTACTGTGTTATTTCTTCATCATAAATGACTTTAAGACAGGTCAATTCTGTTGAACAACGATGAAGAATTTGGCTTTTTACACGCACAGCGGACAAATATTCCATATCAGGATCATGATTATGAAGTCCGATCACCTCAAGTCTATCATTCCTGATAAGTCCTTTATATAATAAAAAAAATTACAATATTGTGTTAAGAAGAGTTTAATGTTATAAACTGTTTTCAGCCTTAAGAGGATTGAAAGCGGACTGGTATTTTCGAAGTTTTAGACCTAAGATCCTGACAAAATTACGCCTACGTAGAATGTCCAATTTGAATTTTATATTAAAAATGTCAAGTTAATCGGCCTCTTTTCAAGGTTATTGTGTAAATAATTTTATATTTCAATTAAAATTGTGTTTAATCCTATTTTAATTTCTTAAGTTTTTAGTATCCTTTATATTGTTTTATTAATCCGACTTCCACGGTAACCTAGGGAAAAAGCTCATGAGCCCAAATATTTATACAGAATTAAAATTCAATCATATTAAGTAGGCATAATTTTGTCAAGATTTTAGGTCTAAAGGGGAGATTACATGCGGTCAAATTTTTCAGTCAAAATATCATTTTTATTCAATTGCATAAGCCAACACGGTGATCCGATAAACAATCTAAAAACAGATTTGAATTCGTCATGAAGTTTACTTAGGATCGTTCAGGGCACACTTTCGGTTTTTAATTTAAACCCTTTACCTTTACCCTTTTAAAATTTGAAATTTTATATAATATTCAAACGGGTTTTGTACATAGTAGGAATAAGATATCAAAAAAGTGCCCTGACCGATGAAGTAAACTTCATGGCAAATTCAAATATATTTTCAGATAAATTATCGGATCACTGGTTCAGCCTGTGCGATGGAACAAAAAATGTATACTGTATTAACTAAAATGGCTTTACTCATAGACAAAATTATTTAAATTAAAAATAACACCATGAAGCTTATACAAATTGACCGGTAAATTAATTGACATGGTAAAAATTTATTAAAACCATTTTTCCTAAATATTGCCTGTACAAAATTCCTTAAAAACCGACCGTATGCAATTCCCTTAATTAATTTCTTGTATGTACAAAATGGCATTTACTCGGAGAATTAATTGTAAAAGTTAAAAATGATGCCTCTAGCTTTTACAAAGTAACCTGTAACTAAATAAAATGTTCGAAAAGTTTTTTTTCTTCTTAAATATTGCCTTTTATAAAACCCCTTAAAAACCGTCCGCTTTCAATCCCTTTAATCATTGTTATGCTTTATACCAAATCGGATTATAAAAAAATATTATGAATATAAATACTAATTGCCACAAAATATTCATGATAGTTAACCCATTGATCAATTTTTGTAAATTATCATATTAAAATATATAAATTGTACTAGGGCAACTCATGGTGCTGGCCTTCTTTCTTTGAAAAATAGTGTTATTTTCTAAAAAAAAATGAAATAAAACGGTTTTTATTTCAAGCCTTTTAAAAGATATTTTTTCTAATTAAGTGGAGTACTACCTAATTAAAAAAAATCTTCTGTTGAGTAATACTTAAATGGTACACTGCTTTATTGTGTATTCGTAAAATAAGTACGATTACATCTAACTACTAATTGCTTCAGTTTTCCATTTACAATCGGGTTACAAATAATTCATATTGAGAAAAAAGATTAATTTTCTAAAATAATATATAGCAATTAATCATACCTCTCGCAGTGCAGTTGGGTTTTATACAACTTAGTGAGGTAGACGATAGCCTCACTTTCTTAACGCGGTAAAAAAAGCCATCATTACTATGATGTAGCTTACTGTTTTTACGAAATCCGTAGACAACTTCGTATTCCATTTTTAACCAATGAAAAGTACAAAAAGAAAAATAGGACAGATGTGTTGTCTGAGCTCTCGATAAAACCCGAATGAACCCAATGTAAGTATGAACTTGGTTGGTTGGTACTTTTTTTTTTTTTTATATATATATATACACACACACACATATATATATATATATATGTATATATAAGTAGGTATGTATGTTGTACATAGTATACAGAACGTGCAAAGAAGTACCCAAAAATGATTGGTGTTTGTTTGAATAAAAGTTTAATATTGTTATTAGGTAGCGCAGCATTTTTATTTTATTTAATAGATAAATCAACAAATTATTTTTGAAATAATAATATGTAGAGTTTAGAAATTAAGCCCTCGAAAATATTTGTTTGTAGTGATGAGTTTTTTATATTCAGTTGTCACTGGGTGTTAGGTACATTTTGTATAACTTATCTTCTTATAAACAAAACAAAAATTTAAAGCCACTGCTGACTGAGGCGTCCAATCGAATGGACAATAGAAGGGTATAGACTTTGACGAAAGTTGTCAGACCATAGTAGTAACTGATGGTTCAAAATTAGGATTAGGGGTCGTGTTACAACAAAGAAATAAGAATAATGAGATCCACCCTGTCGCTTATGCATAAAAAAAATTAACCCCAGCCCAAAATAATTATTCAGCAATGGAACTTGAAGTCCTTGCTATAGATTTCGCCTTTACCAACTTTCGTCAATATTTACATGGTAGGAAAGTGGAAGTCTGGACCGACCACAAAAACTTGACCAGTTTACTAAAAATAAAAACAGAATCCAACGTAGTAAAGCGACTTAGGACTAAGCTAATGGGTTATGATATTACTATACTATATAAAGAGGGGGTATTTAACAAAGCAGCAGACCATTTATCCCGCTATCCCCTTGAAGAGAAGCCTAATGTTAAGAAAGAAAATATAATTAGTGAAAACATAAATATTAATTTAGTACAACCTATAAGTATAGGAATAGATCAGGTTAACGATGACTATTTACACAAGATAATTACAGCTATAAGGAACCCCGATAGTACTGATAGGAAATGGTCACGTAAGGCAAAAAACTACTTAATTAAGAATAACGATGTACTATATTATAAGGCAGCGCATGATAATTTGAGTAATGCACTATTAGCATTACCAAGTAAATACAAAGATAGTGTCGTTAAGGAGAACCACGATAACCCGCTGAGCGCTCATTTAGGCTTCAGTAGAACATATGCTAAAATAAAGGGAAAATATTATTGGCCAAAAATGCGTAGGAATATTAAAAAATATGTTTTGTCTTGCACCCATTGCCAGAAACGAAAACCACATAAGCAGCCGAAACCACCCAAAATAGGTCAATACCCTTTAAACAAGGGTGAGGTAATGCAAGAAATTTTCTTAGATTATATCGGCCCCCTCCAAAGCTCAAAAAACTGTAAATACATCCTAGTAGCCACCGACCGTGTATCGAAATACTGTGTGGCAAAACCCGTACAATGCGCAAATGCTAGGTCTACGGTAAAATTCTTATTAGACTTTATTTTAAGATTTGGACCAATGAAACTTTTGAGAGCGATAACTTTTTAAGATTACATTAAAATACAAATGTCTGAAATGGAACATATCATTGAACATAACCATTTAGATATTTTGTTTAGCAGTAGTTTACCTTTACTATATTTATTTGTAAATTAACAGTATTTATTTCAATTTAGGAAAGGGAACGGTGTTTGATGAGAGTAGACGCACATTTAATTTTAAGTAATATATAAAAAATAATAATACATTTTTTACCATAAAAGTGACCCTGTTTGCCATTCATTTTCTCACTAAAGTAATCAACAACCAATTACATTTTTATCATTATATCACATGTATTAAAATATTTAGCTTAGCGCACCATGACTCACTTTTTACTGATAACGCTAGTGTTCGTTGAGTCATTTTGTATATTTTTATCAGATTTACGTGATAATTCGTTTTTTAAAACTGATATCGGTAATAATGACCCATGCCACTGTACGCGTGTAGGAAAAAAACGTTATTACATGGTCGACATACTAGCACAAGTTAGCACTTTTTATCACATATAACAATTTTTTTAAGATATTTTTTAAATACAAATGTCTAAAATGGAAAATATCATTGAACATAACAATTTAGATATTTTGTTTAGCAGTAATTTACGTTTTCTATATTTATTTTTAAATTAACAGTATTTCTTTCAATTTAGGAAAGGGAACTTTGTTTGATGAGAGTAGACGCACATTAAATTTAAAGTAATATATAATAAATAATAATACATTTTTTACTATAAAAGTGACCCTGTTTGCCATTCATTTTGTTACTAAAGTAATCAACAACCAATTACATTTTTATCATTATATCACATGTATTAAAATATTTACTTAGCGACCATGATCATTTTACTGATTATAATTATACTATAAGCGTGTTTTCTGTAAAACATTATTAACCCGGCATCAGTATTCTCGGCCGCAAGTTTTTTTAGGTTTAGCATTACACATTTTATGAACCCCTTATCCAATTGACTTCATGGTATCTTACAATTAACTGATAACGCTTATGTTCATTGAGTCATTTTGTATATTTATATCAGATTAACCCGATAATTCGTTTTTTAAAACTGATATCGGTCATAATGACCCATGCCACTGTACGCGTGTATGAAAAAAATGTTATTACAAGGTCGACATACTAGCACATGTTATTATCACATATAACAATTTTTTAGGATATCATTGAAATACAAATGTCTGAAATGGAAAATATCATTGAAATAACAATTTAGATATTTTGTTTAGCAGTAATTTACTTTTTCTATATTTATTTTTAAATTAACAGTATTTCTTTCAATTTAGGAAAGGGAACTTTGTTTGATGAGAGTAGACGCACATTAAATTTTAAGTAATATATAATAAATAATAATACATTTTTTACCATAAAAGTGACCCTGTTAGCCATTCATGTTGTCACTAAAGTAATCAACAACCTATTACATTTTTATTTATTATCACATGTATTAAAATATTTACTTAGCGACCATGATCATTTTACTGATTATAATTATACTATAAGCGTGTTTTCTGTAAAACATTATTAACCCGGCATCAGTGGCATCAGTATTTTCGGGCGCATGTTTTTTTGGATTTAGCGTTATACATTTTAAGAACCCCTTAACCACTTGACTTCATAGTACCTTTCAATTAACTGATAACGCCAATGTTCGTTGAGTCATTTTGTATATTTTTATGAGATTTACGTGATAATTCGTTTTTTAAAACTGATATCGGTCATAATGACCGATGCCATTGTAAGCGTGTAGGAAAAAAACGTTATTACATGGTCGACATAGTAGCACAAGTTAGCACTTATTATCACATATAACAATTTTTTTAAGATATCATTGAAATACAAATGTCTGAAATGGAAAATATCATTGAACATAACAATTTAGATATTTTGTTTAGCAGTAATTTACGTTTTCTATATTTATTTGTAAATTAACAGTATTTCTTTCAATTTAGGAAAGGGAACTTTGTTTGATGAGAGTAGACGCACATTTCATTTTGAGTAATATATAATAAATAATTATACATTTTTTACAATAAAAGTGACCCTGTTTGCCATTCATTTTGTCATTAAAGTAATCAACAACCTACTACATTTTTATTATTATATCACATGTATTATAGTCATTACTTAGCGACCATGATCATTTTACTGATTATAATTATACTATAAGCGTGTTTTCTGTAAAACATTATTAACCCGGCATCAGTATTCTCGCCCGCAAGTTTTTTTAGGTTTAGCGTTACACATTTTATGAACCCCTTATCCAATTGACTTCATGGTATCTTACAATTAACTGATATTGCTTATGTTCGTTGAGTCATTTTGTATATTTATATCAGATTAACCCGATAATTCGTTTTTTAAAACTGATATCGGTAATAATGACCCATGCCACTGTACGCGTGTAGGAAAAAAACGTTATTACATGGTCGACATACTAGCACAAGTCAGCACTTATTATCACATATAACATTTTTTTTAAGATATTTTTTAAATACAAATGTCTAAAATGGAAAATATCATTGAACATAACAATTTAGATATTTTGTTTAGCAGTAATTTACGTTTTCTATATTTATTTGTAAATTAACAGTATTTATTTCAATTTAGGAAAGGGAACGGTGTTTGATGAGAGTAGACGCACATTAAATTTTAAGTAATATATAATAAATAATAATACATTTTTTACTATAAAAGTGACCCTGTTTGCCATTCATTTTGTCATTAAAGTAATCAACAACCTACTACATTATTATTATTATATCACATGTATCATAGTCATTACTTAGCGACCATGATCATTTTACTGATTATAGTTATACTATAAGCGTGTTTTCTGTATAACATTATTAACCCGGCATCAGTGGCATCAGTATTTTCGGCCGCAATTTTTTTTTGATTTAGCGTTACACGTTTTAAGAACCCCTTATCCACT